CCCCCCCGTCCCCCCACCCCTTACCCGTTGCCTTCCCTCCCTTGCTCCCTCCCCATCGAATCGCGCATATGGTGTGTGTGTGTGTGTGTGCTTGCTTGCTTGCTCACGCATCACGATCTACATGCAACATGAATTATACCTTTTGCAATCGATGTAGTCCGTATAGATATAGATATATATCTTATATTTATATACTATTGTTATTATGTATATATATATATATATATATGTCAACCATGATTGAAATAACTTAAAGAGGTTTGTTAAAATATACCAGAAATTTTATTGTAGTTACGGCACTTTATGAGTTCACAAAATAAAAATTAAATTGAAACTAAGAAAATTATAAGTTCAAAAATTGGAATGCTTTTCAAGCATACACTTACCTGGGTATGAATTTGGTTGATCCGTCTTGTTGAAATCATGTAGTCCTATTAAAAAAACACGTCCACCTCACAAAGTTATCCGGGTGAATTAAGACCAAGGCGCAAAATTCACAATTAGCTAATGCGAACTGGCTTCGAACAATCTTGTTGTGAAATAAAGCTAGCCGAATACCGCTACGTGCGCATAATTATGATGCACTCCGATTTTCCGATTCAGTTTCACGATGGTAACACCACCAACTTGAAATGTTGCTCAGTTTCAGTTTTCACAATCGTTAACTATACAATTTTTGTTGCTGTCTTTTGGCTGCCTATTTGAGTAATCGAACAGAAGGAAGATTGTCATGTTGAGAGCAAATTCAAGTAGAAGATAGAGAATTCATGAAGACTGCGGTTAAAAGAATAATGAGTAGATGTATGAGTGCCACTGTTTGCGACACGCAGCCATATCGCTCAGTGTCCCTAACCATTGGTGACCATGATTTCGGGGTCCCCATCCAGAGAGCCTAACGGGACCTATGTGATCCAGTCTCCTGGTTAGGGATTTCATACCCCTATGTTAGGTCTTAGTTTGACCACTATTCACCGTTTTTCGTCCGCTGCCTGCCTCGGTAAACAGCGCTCGCCGTGGTAACCTATCTGGTGACATGCGTAACACATGTCCCAACCACCGTAGTGTTTATGTAGGTCAACCACTTAGCCCAGTGGACGATCGCATATCTGATGCTTGGTCAACTTGAATTGCAAAAGGTATAGACACTGATTGAATTCCCATCCCCGAATCCCATGGATATTTGCATAGTAAATGGTCACATGGTTTTTTCCCTTCTCTCACGAGTACACATCCGATCAGATACATGCTGATTCGCACCAAGGCAGTGTTATCATCTATGTGGTTTGGTAATGTTAGCTGTACCTGTTAGTTCCAAATGTACTGGTCGGTTCGGAAACAAATTGTTGGCTGTGTGGGTATCCCTCGAAGTTATCACTCAGTACACGAGTCAGAGAGAAATATAGTTGATTTGTATGATATTTTCTTACTTAGAGTAGATTTTTTCCACATAAAGATCATGTGGCTTCGAAGGACCTTTTGACTATGGTTCAAAGTGTTATCACGATAGTTCTCCGTTTATTTTTATTTCAGTTTGAACATGCGTCCCCAGTCCTTCTGAAACTAATCGCTTCCGCGGTTTGATAGCAGACCGGCAGGCAATGGACAGATTGGTATACATCATGAACAATGATAGTGATTAGATTGTTTGTTATGGGAAAATTCATTCAAGATATCGGGCGTGTATGCTGATTGATTGTTTCCAACCGTGTACATTCGGTAGAGCGGTGCCAACCACCACCACCACCTAACTATTCATAATTAACCATCCACATGGCTGTTTCCCTTTCCGTGACCTGAATAAGCACCTAGCTCCTTCAAACTGGAACCCGGAAAATTGGCCTATCACATCCACTACTGTTGTTTGGTAATGAAAATGAAGACTGGTGGTATTCGTGTGTGTGTGTGTGTGTGCGCGTGTGTGCGTGCGTGTGCGATCGTCGTGTAACAATTTTGGTAAATCGCACGTACCGTTTGACTATTTTCGCCCTGTGTTGGTGTGTGTTCCACGACGTGATTGTACTCGGTCACTGTTATTTGGATTAGTGAGTAATATTATTATTATTATTATTATTATTATTATTACATTTCACACTTGTCTGAGGACAGACTGTGTACCAAACAAATCATGGTACAATAATCGTTATAAAAAGAAAAATTTCCACGATTGACTTGTGGGCTGAGTACTGCCAGGCCAAGGCAGATGAATTTGCTTGAAGAATCCACAACCGGAGTCTTCGGTAGACCAAAGTCTGACCCGCAAGGCNCCGGTGTCCAGTTCATCGGATCATACGCCCTTCGGACGGGATCAGACGTCCAAGGTGCCCAATCGAGCCGGTAACCACTGCTACCACCGGAAAGGTGTGGGTGTTGTTCGTACGCCTCCTTATGATTGATTTGGAATCAGGGTTTTTGGCCA